ATTGTAAGGTTCTTGTCTTATAACACTATAAAGCATTGTTAAGTAGTTATCAGTATGTCCGAATAGTTTTGTTTTTGAGGGGATCTGGTATCCATAGCAACATGACTTACTTTGGGAATAGGCATAGTTGTATACAAATGTTGATGAGCTCACAAGGCTATTATGTACAACATATCTTAACATATGAGTGAAGAAACGATGGAACAACAGCATCCATCTGTTAGACAGACACAGTACAATAATGCTTTGTCTTAAAATCAAGTAAATTTACAGCAGTACAAGATCCAGTTTCTAAAACAACTGTTAGAAACAAATAGCCAAAGTCTAAAAAATCTCTAAAAAGAAAATGTCTAACTTTTGGAATGTACAGCATAAAATAAACAAATCTGACAACAAAATGAAATACTAAACATAGCACTGTAATGAAGTTACAGAGGAGCACTTTCCGCTGTGGGTGGGGAATAGCCAGTACAATGCTAGACCTGATATGGCATCCAAGGGTAGGAGTTCTTGACTGAGTCGTATTCACTGCAAAGAGCTATATATCCCATACTACATGGTGTATAACCACACCGTAGCACATACATAAGCAATGACCATCAGCTGATGGGTATATTTCTGTAAAAGATGATATCTAGGCTTGCACGTAGATTAAAACACATGAGATGAAATCTGCAATGCTGAGTAACTGCTTCCATAGCGACCGTATCCATTGACAACAATTTTCTCTTCTATATCACACAACAGCCAATGTTTTAACTTCCTCCCAGGAAATCTTGTATAATATAATTCATATTTGAATGCTTTGTTATTGGAACATCAAGGGCATTATAAAAAATGGAATATATTTCTCCTAATTACTTTTATCTTTCACTGTCTTTGTTTCAAAAAGAAAATCAATTGAAGTAAATGTGTGTATTCTATATATTTTATATGGTATAGAGCTGCTCCCCATGTGTGACCGGCCTGTGTGTTGCATTGTGGGATGAGTGTGTTACTAGGGAGATACACACAAACCACTACCCTCATCTCACATCTGTGTAGTAACATTGCTCATCTACCAATTACATTAGCATTTGCAACAGAAACAAGAAAGTACCTCAATACCTAAATATGATTAAAAGGATGGAAATGACAACATGAACAAATTGATCCTTGACAAAAATCTAAAAATGTCAATAAAGGAGTACTAAGAACCCATATATTCTATAAAAAAAGTAATTAACAAAACAACTTTTGTTAACAGAATTTTGCAAATTGCATTCACCAAAATGAACAGTTAATTATTCTTGCAGTAGTGGACTGTTAAGCATATATAAGTGGACACTCATATTCAATACTAAAACTCAAGACATGGAACAGGACATTGACTATGAGGACGAACATCACGGGGTTAATATTGCAAAACTCTTGGACGGCATCAGCAACCAAAGAAATGATGTTTACAAGTATGGATAATTCAGCAGTGCCTTAATATGAAAGGCAAAATGTTCAAGTATTTCCCTTAAAGAAAGACAATGGAAGAATCTCAAAATTCTAATAACCGGGATCCCTAATAAAATGCTTTGTAAATATTGAAAACAAATTGCTCAGTTTCAACCCATCATTTCTCTGATTCTTCACAAATGAATATATTTCTGAAACATTGACACAATGCATTAGGAATGATACATGTACATATGGGATTATGAATGTAGGCATGGGAATATGAGTGGATATCATGTGTAACATGTGGTTGTATACACGCAATGTTAATGCACCCCCATGCAACACACTGACATGTCAACAATGTGAATGCATCCAATGCAATACGTTGACATGTCAACAACGTGATGTCCATGTCAACAATGTGAATACATCCGAATGCAATGCGTGGACATGTCAACAATGTGAATACACCCCCATGCAATACATGGACATCAACAATGTGAATACACCCCCATGCAAAACATACACCTGTCAACAATGTGAATACACCCCCATGCAAAACATACACCTGTCAACAATGTGAATATACCTCATGCTAAACATACACATACCAACAATGTGAATATACCCCATGCAATATGAGGGCATATAAACAATGTGAAAAGACCTCAATACAATACATGGATGTATTAAAAATGTGAATACACCCAATGCAATAGATGGATATGTCAACAATGTGAATACATCCCCATGAAATATCTGGAGATGTTAACAAAGTGAATACACTGTCCATGTGACACTGGATCTATGTACTATGCAAAATGTTACATGGATGGAGGGATACCACTTGCAATCAATATAAAACAAAGGGTACAAGGGAAACACTCTATATATATCACAACCATATATACACTGGCATGAAATGACTTGCAATACTGCCTACATGCTTTCTGCTAATGGGACTTCAGTGAAACAAGCTCAAGTACTCAGCTTACTGTTGTTGCTCACAACATAGCATGAATAACATGGATATAAAATACTATGCTCAAAACATAATAAACAAATCCAAAAAATATCTCTTCAGCATGCATAAATTTGCATATATTATGTACCTGCCAACAAAATAACATAGTGAGAGGACGGAATTGCCATCTGGTCATTCTATAATGCTTTCTGGTTACGAGAACATAAACCCCCACTCTGTCTATGTAATAAAAGTGTTTCTATTTTTCGCACAAAACAATATTAAATGAGAAGTGTCAGAATCACACAAGTTACTTTGTGATGAAATGATGACATTTCTACAACTGAAACACTCCTACACCATGTCCGTGAAGATTTCTCAAATGACGAAATCACCCAATGAATTGGAACAATGTTTTAACGGATGAATTATGGCACATTTTTTATGTAATTGCTTATAAATTAATTATAATATTCCTCATATGTTTATTTTTCTCACTTATTTACAGACAAGGACGGAGAAGTTTACCAAAGAAGGAATGAGGGGTTGGCATGGGGTAGGGTGGGGGTTAACAAATATGTGATGGGGGCAGGGAGCGGGGGAGGTTTAACACTGGAGGGATGAGGATGCTTCTCTGACCTGCAGAATTCAACAGCAGAATGAGGACAGGCTTCGCCACCAAAATCTGTATCACCATTCATATTGTGGCATTTTCAACAAATGTTAGCAAAAAATTAAAATGACTATGATATGCATTAAAAGCAATCTAGAGACAATCTGTACATATTAGTCTGAGCAAGTGTATGCTAGAGAAGATCACAGCCAAATATTGTAACATAAAGGAGTGTTGTTCAACTTATACCCTCACAACACTTTTCTCATCCACAAACTGTAGGAATAAACTGATTGTTGCAGGTGCCCTTCTTGTGTTGGGACAGAGCACACTGTCTAGACATTCGCTGGGTGAAGACACTGCAGAAAACACTGTCTCTTCTTCACGTACCCTCCACGTAGGTTTGATAATGTTTCAAAGATGATTAAATTCAGAATTAAACACTATTCACCAGATTAAAAATGTGAAAAAGCTTTGAATACCATACATAATTATGCGTAGGTGACTTTCTCTTTGATATAATGATATCCGATCTTTGAAAATTAAAATTTAACAAAATGCTGAGCAATATATCTCCATGCACCTGAAAACTGTTTTGCAGTCAAACAGAGCACTGGGGACATGACTACAGTGAGGAAACATGCTACATCTGTTCGGTGTTAGCAGCTGAACCTGCCAGAGTTAGTTACTTGGTATAGTCAAGAGATAACTCTCACATTGTACACTTATCCAACAAGCTAACCTTTTCATGCATAACAAAGAATGTTTCCAGATTGTCTCAAACATGGCAGTCATCCACATATTCAGAACAAATCACTAATACTACTTCCCCAAAACAATAATAATTTGAACCATCATTCCCCAGCAACATGTTAACAGTTGGTACAAAAGCTTATCCTTAAATATTTCCCCAGCAACATGTTAACAGTTGGTACAAAATCTTATCCTCAAATATTTCCCCAGCAACATGTTAACAGTTGGTACAAAAACTTCTCAAATATTTCCCCAGCATCATGTTAACAATTAGTATGAAAACTTATCCTCAAATATTTCCCGAACAACATGTTAACAGTTGGTACAAAAACTTCTCAAATACTTCCCGAGCAACATGTTAACAGTTAGTATGAAAACTTATCCTCAAATATTTCCCGAACAACATGTTCACAGTTGGTACAAAAACTTCTAAAAATATTTCCCCAGCAACATGTTCACAGTTGGTACAAAAACTTCTCAAATATTTCCCCAGCAACATGTTAACAGTTAGAATGAAAACTTATCCTCAAATATTTCCCGAACAACATGTTCACAGTTGGTACAAAAACTTCTCAAATATTTCCCCAGCAACATGTTCACATTTGGTACAAAAACTTCTCAAATATTTCCCCAGCTACATGTTAACAGTTAGTACAAAGACTTATCCTCAAATATTTCCCCAGCTTTATATTAACAGTTGGTACAAAGGCTTCTGAAACATTTCCCCAGCTACACGTTAACAGTTTGTACAAAGATTTCTCCTCTAATGCTTCCATAACAACACATTAACAGCTGGTACAAAGAATTATCCTTAAATATTTCCCTATCAACATGTCAACAGTTGGTACAACGGTTTCTACCCTAATGCTTCCCTAGCACCATGTTAACAGCTGGTACAAAGAATTATCCCCTTATGCTTCCCCCAGCAACATGTTAACAGTTGGTGCACAGATTTCTTCTCTAGCAACATGTCGAGAGTTGGTACAAAGAATTCCCCTCGGACACCTCCCAAGATACATGGCCCCAACACTTGACTGCTATTTCTCCCAAACTGTGTTATCAGTTTGTATCAACATCGGACAACAACTTCTCCCCTAGCAACTATGCATTAACAGTTTGTACTAACATCTGACAGCAACTTCTCCCCTAGCAACTATGCGTTAACAGTTTGTACTAACATCTGACATCTACTCGGAGTTCCTCCCTCGTAAAGGTTTACTGTTGATACCAAATTCTCAGAACACATTTTCTAATACCCTCATTAATGCTATATCTATTACCACTATTAGCAAACAGGTTGTTCATGAAACAGGTGAAGATATTTGACAGTCATGTTGAAAGACAAAGTAAATGTTAAAAGAAAACAGGGATGAAATATTCTGATTTGCAAACCAATCAGTTAAAGCAGTTACAAGACATGTATGCCTCCTCAGAGATCAACATGATGATATGAAGATGCAGCTTTAGACCTAGCTGTCATTTGATTAAAACCTGGGACCTTTTGAAAATGCAACACATCTAAAACTGACAATATGTTATTAAAATATGGACGGCTTTGGACGGAGATCCTACAATCATAACTGACACAGACTTGAAATAACAAATGTTCAAATAACCCTTCAAAAGCAACACACATTTCAAAGTGTGTGTAAAGAATAAAGACATGAAACAAAAAATGGAAACTGAAAACCTGAATTATTAACATTAAACTCCTGACCAATATATATGCAAGATTGTAAGATACAAGGTAACAGCTGCGAGGCAGTTGACCAAGCTCTTGCCTCTACAAGAATGGTGTCAGGATAGCAAGGTGATGGGATCACCTGACTAAGTCCTCACCAAGTCAAACATAACAAGTGGTAAGAATATAGCATCACAGTCTCACTTTGATTCTTACCAGATACATCCTATTTTGGCTTCATTTTCAGCAAAGGATACATCTGATGACATCTGCACTGAGCAGTCTGCCCTTTCAGCATGACAGGGTTGATGATATGTGATACGCCATAACACAACACAAGGAATATACACATATATACAATACATGATGGGCGCTATATTCCCAGTAACTCATGATAAAAAAAGGATGCCATAAAGCAGAATGTCCACAAACTATGCTGCCATCTTGGGACTTCATTAAAATGGACGGCTACGTTCTGTCATTGAATATCACAATTCTGTAGTGTTCGTTTTCTAAATGCTGACAGACGTGTCATATTCCCAGCATGGTATGAATCTGATAGTGTGGCAGTCACGGCACCTTAGTGCGTAGTACCATATTTATCTGACATGTAAATACAGCGTCCTTCTCCTGGAGACCGGACATTTAGAAACATCCACCATGAAAGACCATCACACGTATCACCATGAAAATGACAATACGTCCCTGCCCATTCAATCCAGTACGAAAAAGACTGTCCACTTGTCACATGCCAACCAATGGTAGAGCAGGTAATGATGCTGCATGTCGTCATGGTGACGAAAAGGAGAAGGCTAGGTGGATCCATCTGCTGCATATACTGCGGAGAGTCGACTGTTACAGCGGTCTACAGCTGATAGCTGCAGGAACTGTTGCATATTGGCCTCGTCTTGCCCTGTCATGCTGAACTGTTCAAACCCCGCTGACATCGGTTGGTCACCATATCCTGTCACACAATATGAAACATCTCAACACATGACCTGACAAGGTTGAATACACATACAAACATTACATAATGCATTGGGTATATTACATGTGACATACATAGAAACTCAGTAATATGTGATATACATCATACTCATATCTTCATTTTGACAAGCAAACTCAACATTCCCACCCCTGTAAGAGGAGATGGAACAGGAGATATTCTTTCTAGAGGCCATCACTTCATATAACACTTCACACTAAAGCATCCAGACACTCACCCTGTTGGCTGACAAATGCCTTCTGCATATCCACAGGCATATTGGCGAACTGCTCCTCAGTAAAGTTCTGGAACGACACACGCTGCGACTGCATGGCTCCCATACGACAGCTGTTGATGTTGGTGAAGGCGTTGGAACCGGCAAACGGCAACCGCTGAGTGTACTGAGGGTACCCACCCTGGTTTGGCATGTCTGCAGATGAGAAAACCAAAGATATACCACTAAGTATATATGTCAGCCACACATTCTCCTTTGAAGAATCCACTTTCTAACCATGAAACCTGCTTTTCAGAAACAAACTTTCTAAGGATGACTTCCTGAGAACTGAAGATGGTACTTACAAACATGCAAGCTCCTATTTTCACTTCCACTGTGGGGAGCATCTCTGATATGATGTCCCAGCCTAACTGGGGACAGCTCACTTGTTCTACATGCTCCCTGCATGGTACACCTGGTAGGGTATGACAAACTTATCCTACAATGCTCCCTGCATGGTACACCTCGTAGGGTATGACAAACTTATCCTACATGCTCCCTGCATGGTACACCTGGTAGGGTATGACAAACTTATCCTACATGCTCCCTGCATGGTACACCTGGTAGGGTATGACAAACTTACCCTGTACGGTACACCTGGTAGGGTATGACAAACTTACCCTGCATGTTCCCTGCACGGTACACCTGGTAGGGTATGACAAACTTATCCTGCATGTTCCCTGCACGGTACACCTGGTAGGGTATGACAAACTTACCCTGCATGTTCCCTGCACGGTACACCTGGTAGGACATGGCAAACTTATCCTACATGCTCCCTGCATGGTACACCTGGTAGGACATGACAAACTTACCCTGCATGGTACACCTGGTAGGACATGACAAACTTACCCTGCATGCTCTCTGCATGGTACACCTGGTAGGGCATGGCAAACTTACCCTGCATGGTACACCTGGTAGGACATGACAAACTTACCCTGCATGGCACACCTGGTAGGGCATGGCAAACTTACCCTGCATGGTACACCTGGTAGGGCATGACAAACTTACCCTGCATGGTACACCTGGTGGGGCATGGCAAACTTACCCTGCATGGCACACCTGGTAGGGCATGGCAAACTTACCCTGCATGGTACACCTGGTAGGACATGACAAACTTACCCTGCATGCTCCCTGCACGGTACACCTGGTAGGGCATGACAAACTTACCCTGCATGGTACACCTGGTAGGGTATGGCAAACTTACCCTGCATGGTACACCTGGTAGGGCATGAAAACTTACCCTGCATGGTACACCTGGTAGGGCATGACAAACTTACCCTGCATGGTACACCTGGTAGGGTATGGCAAACTTACCCTGCATGCATTCCCTGCACGGTACACCTGGTAGGGCATGACAAACTTACCCTGCATGCTCCCGGATGGTGGGTAGCCCTGGTAGGATGTGGCAGGGTATGGGTTGGGTTGCATATTGTTCAGCATGTTGGGGGCATGTCGGCTGATGGGTGGGAGTGGCCGGGGACTCAACATGCCCTGGGAGGGTCCAGGAGAGTAGCCACCCATGCTGAAATGATAGACAGAGATGATTAGATATCTTCCAAACACACTATATAGAGTATAATCATTACACTGTACCCGGCAAACAGTTTCCACCCATGTGCAACAAAGGCAGGTGCATGGTAATGGTTCATACATATACTACCCATCAAAGGTTTAGACTCACTTAAAGCACTCACTATATGTTATGCATATAGAGTTACATCGAAGATATGTTTCTCCACTAACTAGGGCGAAAACAACTGCAAACCTTTAGCTGATGAATTGCATGAGGATCATGCATCAAATCCTGGAAAGCATGTGCAAATATCGCGCATGTGAACAGCTGCATTTTGGTGTAAAGTTTTGTTAAGAATTCGCCAATTTTTACTGAGTTTCATCATTTCTTGAACTCATGACAATAATCTTTTCAACATTACGAATTTGTTTTACAATACATCAGTTCATGTGTAAACAGTACCTTTGAACAGTATGGAATATTTGGCAAAATCTAGATTAGAACAGTTGATTGAAGTAAGTGCCTACATTTACACTAGTGAGTCTAAACTTTGATGGGTAGTATATATACACATTCTTCTACAAAAAGATACATATTTGTATCATTGAACTATGACCCTGTATCCTCCCCTGTTAATGCTGCAAACAACAATATGACAGTCGTATCACAACATCCTGTAAATAATACAACACTGAAAGGCAAACAATCACCAACAATTCACTCTGCATAATTCAATAATGCACAGCCAGGTCAGATATTATGACTTCTCAGTCCTTGTTAAGTCAACTTTCTTCACAATCACGCAGTGCTGGTACCTGTTCTGACCCAGATTTTTCAAGGCCCCAATACACCAATACAAAACTTCCGGAGTCAGTAGTCTGATTGAGTCACAATGTACCTGCGCATACCTAAACAGTCATTAGCTGCTATGAAATCTTTTTGCAAAAACATGTTTTTTGCTTTGATTCTCTGAGCAAATTATATATAGAAACCCAAGGCCATGCTGACTATTTATACTTCAAAGCTAGAAAGAGAATATTATTTTATCTTTGTGCACAAGGAGGACAAGTAGATTGACATACACTACGTATACATGCTCATCCTGTCTCCATGTTTCCTAGGGGATCTAGCTATTTCACACCACAGTCACTGACACAAGCAATGTCTCCATTGATAAGCTATTTCTGTCTCAAAGTAGGGAGAAGGTCCTCCCGTTTGCTGACAGAGGGATGCACTCCCCCCCTCACACTGGGAAACTCATCCCACTCACCTGGGTCATGTCACACCTGTCTCATCCAAGCAAACCTGTTATACTACCTGTGTAACCACCTGCTGGTATCTACGTATAATACTACCTATAACAACCATCCCCACCATCCATGTGTAATACCACCCATAACAACCACCTGTAATACCATCCATATCAACCTGATGTAATACCACCCACAACAGCCACCTATAATACTACCCATAACAACCACCTGTAATCCTACCTACAACAGCCACTTGTAATACTATCCATAACAACTACCTGTAATACTACCCATAACAACCACATGCAATACCACCCATAACAGCCACCTATAACAACCACCTGTAATACTACCCACAACAGCCACCTGTAATACTACCCATAACAACCACCTGTAATACTACCAATTATAACAACCACATGCAATAGTATCCGTAACAGCCACCAATAACAACAACCTGCAATACTACCCATAACAGCCACCTATAATACCACCCATAACAACCACCTGTAATACTACCCATAACAACCACATGCAATACTATCCATAACAGCCACCTATAACAACCACCTGTAATACTACCCATAACAACCACATGCAATACTACCCATGACAGCCACCTATAACAACCACCTGTGATACTACCCATCACAGCCACCTATAACAACCACCTGTAATACTACTCATGACAGCCACCCATAACAACCACATGCAATACTACCCATAACAGCCAACTATAACAACCACCTGTAATACTACCCATAACAACCACATGCAATACTACCCATAACAGCCACCTATAACAACCACCTGTAATACTACCCATCACAGCCACCTATAACAACCACCTGTAATACTACTCATGACAGCCAACTATAACAACCACCTGTAATACTACCCATAAACAACCACATGCATTACTACTATAATAACAGCCACCTATAACAAACCACCTGTAATACTACCCATCACAGCCACCTATAACAACCACCTGTAATACTACCCATAACAACCACATGCAATACTACCCATAACAGCCACCTATAACAACCACCTGTAATACTACCCATCACAGCCACCTATAACAACCACCTGTAATACTACTCATGACAGCCAACTATAACAACCACCTGTAATACTACCCATAACAACCACATGCAATACTACCCATAACAGCCACCTATAACAACCACCTGTAATACTACCCATCACAGCCACCTATAACAACCACCTGTAATACTACCCATAACAGCCACCTATAACAACCACCTGTAATACTACCCATAACAACCACATGCAACACTACCCATAACAGCCACCTATAACAACCACCTGTAAAACTACCAATCACAGCCACCTGTAATACTACCCATAACAGCCAACTATAACAACCACCTGTAATACTACCCACAACAACCACCTGTAATACTACCCATAACAGCCACCTATAACAACCACCTGTAATACTACCCACAACAACCACCTGTAATACTACCCATAACAGCCACCTGTAAAACTACCCACAACAACAACCTGTAATACTACCCATAACAGCCACCTATAACAACGATCTGTAATACTACCCATAACAGCCACCTATAACAACCACCTGTAATACTACCCATAACAGCCACCAATAACAACCACCTGCAATACTACCCATAACAGCCACCTATAATACCACCCATAACAACCACCTGTAATACTACCAATAACAACCACATGCAATACTACCCATAACAGCCACCTATAACAACCACCTGTAATACTACCTATAACAACCACCTGCATTACCACCCATAACAGCCACCTATAACAACCACCTGTAATACTACCCACAACAGCCACCTGTAATACTACCCATAACAACCACCTGTAATACTACCTATAACAACCACATGCAATAGTATCCATAACAGCCACCAATAACAACCACCTGCAATACTACCCATAACAGCCACCTATAATACCACCCATAACAACCAACTGTAATACTACCAATAACAACCACATGCAATACTACCAATAACAGCCACCTATAACAACCACCTGTAATACTACCCATAACAACCACATGCAATACTACCCATAACAGCCACCTATAACAACAACCTGTAATACTACCCATCACAGCCACCTATAACAACCACCTGTAATACTACTCATGACAGCCACCCATAACAACCTGTAATACTACTCATAACAGCCACCTATAACAACCACCTGTAATACTACCCATCACAGCCACCTATAACAACCACCTGTAATACTACCCATAACAGCCACCTCTAACAACCACCTGTAATACTACCCATAACAACCTAATATAACAACCACATGCAACACTACCCATAACAGCCACCTATAACAACCACCTGTAATACTACCCATAACAACCACATGCAACACTACCCATAACAGCCACCTATAACAACCACCTGTAATACTACCCATCACAGCCACCTATAACAACCACCTGTGATACTACCCATAACAGCCACCTATAACAACCACTTGTAATACTACCCATAACAGCCACCTATAATACTACCCACAACAACCACCTGTAATACTACCCACAACAACCACCTGTAATACTACCCATAACAGCCACCTGTAAAACTACCCACAACAACCACCTGTAATACTACCCATAACAGCCACCTATAACAACGATGTGTAATACTACCCATAACAGCCACCTATAACAACCACCTGTAATACTACCCATAACAGCCACCTATGACAACCACCTGTAATACTACCTATAACAAACACCTATAATACAACCCATAACAACCACCTGTAATACTACCCACAACAGCCGCCTTTAATACTACCCACAACAGCCACCTGTAATACTACCCACAACAACCACCTGCAATACCACCCATAACAACCACCTATAATACCACCCATAACAACCACCTATAGTACCATCGATAACAACCACCTATAATACCACCAATAACAACCACCTATAATACAACCCATAACAAACCACCTGTAATACTACCCACAACAGCCACCTGTAATACTACCCACAACAGCCACCTATAATACCACCCATAACAAACCACCTGTAATACCACCCATAACAACCACCAATAATACCTCCCATAACAACCACCTATAGTACCATCCATAACAACCACCTATAATACCACCCATAACAACCACCTATAATACAACCCATAACAAACCACCTGTAATACTACCCACAACAGCCACCTGTAATACTACCCACAACAGCCACCTATAATACCACCCATAACAAACCACCTGTAATACCACCCATAACAACCACCTATAATACCACCCATAACAACCACCTATAGTACCATCCGTAACAACCACCCATAATACCACCCATAACAACCACCTGTAATACAACCCATAACAAATCACCTGTAATACTACCCACAACAGCCACCTGTAATACTACCCACAACAGCCACCTTTAATACTACCCATATCAACCACATGTAATACTACCCATAACAACCTGTAATACTACCCACAACAACAACCTGTAATACTACCCACAACAGCAACCTGTAATACTACCCATAACAGCCACCTTTAATACTACCCACAACAGCCACCTATAATACCAACCATAACAACCACCTATAATACCACCCATAACAACCACCTATAATACCACCCATAAGAACCACCTATAATACCACCCATAAGAACCACCTATAATACCACCCATAACCACCTATAATACCACCCATAACAAGCACCTATAATACCACCCATAACAACCACCTATAATACAACCCATTACAAACCACCTGTAATACTACCCACAACAGCCCCTTTAATACCACCCATAACAACCACCTATAATGCCACCCATAACCACCTATAATACCACCCATAACAACCACCTATAACAACCACCTATAATACCACCCATAACAAACGACCTGTAATACTACCCACAACAGCCCCTTTAATACTACCCACAACAGCCACCTGTAATACTTCCCACAACAACCACCTGTAATACTACCCACAACAGCCACCTTTAATACTACCCACATCAACCACCTGTAATACTACCCATATCAACCACCTGTAATACTGCCCATAACAACAACATGTAATAGTATCTATTACAACTACCTGTAATACTACCCACAACAGCCACCTGTAATACTACCCATAACAACCACCTGCACTAATAGCCCCAGCAAGCACCTGAGAGTGTAGTGAGTGAGGTGATGAAAGACTTCAATGGTACATGTTTAGGCTCTCCTCACCTGTCCTCCTCATTGACCACACTGAGAGTGCCGGTGTTCATGGGACTGCCCTGCATGCTGACTGGAGACTGGTGGCTGCTGACACCTGTGGCAGTACCGCAGCGACTGGAATGTGTGCTGGAGAAGCTGATACCTGCAGAAACAAACACACATGTGACTCCTAATGCTTCGTAACACAGGTGTGTCTCCGAATACTTCATAACACAGGTGTGTCTACGAATACTTCATAACACAGGTGTGTCCCAGAATGCTTTAAAACACAGGCTTATCTAAAAGTACTTTACAATGTAGCTGTGTCTCAAAATACTTCACAACACAAACGTATCTCAAAATACTTCATGACACAGCTGTATGTCAGAATACTTCACAACACATCAGTATGTCAATACGCATGTTACACACTGGTTGTCATGTAACAAATTTGGTGTCATTATACTGTGCATCCCTATATAGAGTGTTTATGAGTCACCTGTTAAAGGGGCATAACTCTGCAAGTTATATTAATTTGAATAAATCACATGAACAATGAATGATAAAAAAGCGAAAAGACACTAAGGATCATTTATGAGATCATTCTATGCCAAGAAAAACAAGAGAATACCACATGCAGTAATGCACGAATCTTTTCTTAACTGTGTCCTCACCAAGGTCAAGGTCAAAACGCCATGATGCAGTGACCCCAATAACAATTGACCTATGGCCAATAAAAGGGAACTGAATATGTTGAAAGTGAAAATTTCTTAAGGAAGATCAGGTTGTTATTTTGTAATTAATGCAAACAAAATTCATATTTTAACTTAAACACTGTCATGATTTCTAAACTTCAAACTGACCAATAGCTTCTGTTCTTTTTCTAACTCCAGTTTCCTCCAAAACAAATGATGGATTGTAATGGCACATGTTAATTTTTAAAACTGCCATGAAATAGTATCGGCATGCATCATGGACAAAGTATCAGGGGATAGTTGTATTGTGACATCCCCTGTGTCATGTTGAGGGCTAGGTTGTTATATTATACTAGTTGTTTCACTCACAGTTATCTTACTTAAAGGTCACATGCAACGTAAAACACAACTTTGCAGATTCTGATACCTTTCGGTATGGACATACCGAAACAAATAGTCAAAAATGCAAATTCAACTTATAAAGTTGAAAAATAACGCGATGAAAAAAAACGCGCGAAATCGGAGTTCAAACGTTTCACTAATTTTCCCCAGAGATTTCTGGGGAAACGGGTTTCAACAGCTGGGCTGCGCCCATAGCACGTGCGCAAGTAAATAGGTTCACGCAGCTTGGAAGCCGGGTTGTCGGGTGAATACCTCGGTGAAGGCCTTGGTGTGAGCTATATTTTCTAATGTTTTGTTGATATCTCACAGGCCGAACTTTTATATGTTATGACAGTAAATTAACTGTTTATATAATTTCATTTGTCTATTTCACCACATGTTCTTTCTTACCGAGACGCTTTCTCAGTTCGATACTTAAAAGCAATGTCATTATTTAGCTGACTCAGTTTCTAACTGTGATATAGATATGTCGTTGTCACAGACAAAACTCAATGTCTTGTTTTATTGACACCTGTGTGTCTGCCTGCCTGTCTGCTAATGAAAATATTCAATACACAACTGCAATCACTGACCACATGCAATTTGATCTTAACACTCAATCAGGCTATACACCATAAACAAAACGCGCATTGATTTATGGCCCGAAGTTCGGTCTCTGTCACATTATGTAATTACACATGACAGGCAGGTGTGATACTTGAACACATGACATGTTATGATGTCTGTTGATTGCAAAATGTTATACACAAAAAATGAGCATGTATTTACAAAACCGCACTTTCTATATATACACACACACATTGACCCGTGAAGGCGGCATCTGCTAATGAACCAGCCGTTACACTTGAGTGCACACCCACCCGCTCTGACTGGGTTCGGTATCCCGGCTGCTTCGTTTCGAGGGAGGTAAACCCAAGTACAAAATATTGCACTTTTGATTTGCGATTATACGCTTATAATTTTGTTTATTTGTTTTTTCATAATCAGCTATGCATATTATATGTCATGAAGAAGTGATAATTGTGTTTTAATTATGTTTGATATTTTGGTTGCATGTGACCTTTAAATTAACTTACTAATTGCCTTCAATTACTCAGATACAGTCGTCAAGGTTTTTAGACTAATTGTTGACAGAAGATATATAAGAATGCTTATTTCACTTGTCCTGGACTGATTGTCACAAAACTAGAGCATTATAACAGAACTCAGATTAAACTAGTCATTGAGGACTAGATTACTGAATTCTTACATATCCTCGGCAAATATTGGTAATCTTTGGCTAGCATACTAGTATGAATTTGTAACACTGCAGACAAACGGCAAGATCGACAACTGGTTGTGAGGAAGATAGCACCAAACCTGGCCTGACTAATGTCAACTATACACTATAATATATAGCAATATGTCTGTTGAAGCAGAGATAGTATTCCATGATCAATCAAGTTTGGGCCACCCTTCATTCAATAACAATACAATTTAGTCAAACAACTGTACCCAACATGCAATATTTTGCCTTCAATCAATATTCACTAATAAAATGTTGCTTTTAAGCATGCTATTCTCATACCAGATTTCCAAAAATATAATAATGTTTTCAAATTATCAAAAGCTGACATGGGTATTATCTAAATCTCCAGCTTAGAGGGTAGGAAAGTGAAGAGTCGTTAGCTATGAAAGATAAGAAACGGTTTAACATATGACAGGTAGTTGTCTATTTGCCATATTACATTGACGACAAATGGCATCGACCTTACACTATGCATACAGCTCCAACTTCAGCTGGTGTTTAGCGGGTCATTATGTACCTGCCTCTCCATTACCCGACAATTGTTCTCATTGAGACCGGGACTACAGCTCCGACCAAATACAGGCATATCCTAGCTACGGCCAACTGTTGTTTGTACATTAGATTACAAGCTAGATGGTTTTAGGGTGACTGACTTAACTAGCAAAGCTTTCGGTGTTTGAGTCAACACTGGAAGATCTTGAGGTTGGAATGTGAGGGAGGCGATTGTCATGTTTGTCCATACATTCTTTGATATATTACTGGCTGGTCTTTGCGATATCAGGACACATGGACTTACTAATAGCTGCTTCATTATTGCTAAAACAATCTACAACTGCCACTCACTGGACAGAAAATAACAAACATGTTTTCATATCTCTTTTAATATACTAAGGTTTCCCTGACAACATAAGACAATTTTAACAACATTAGTAACAACTTTTCAGAATTGTATTATCAACCTACAACTCACAAACATATCCTGAACACAACTGATATATATACAATCACTGAAAACAGACATGAATGCACTTCACAACAAATATCATATAGGTAGATACAGGCAATATATATACTGACATTAACACTCAAGCCTTACATGTGTGTGTTGTTACAGACCGCAGCCTGTTACATATAGATAGATACAGATAATATATATCTTCACATTAAGACTAGCACTTGCCTGTGTGTGTTGCTAAAGACTGTTATGTCTTTCGTATTGAAAGAAATATACAATATATTCCTGATATTAATCTATTCTTGTGTTACCCTATGCGGTGCATCTGTTTAACAGCTGACATTCCGACTAACATAACTGACACATATCGTGTGACTTTCTTGGGTACATGTGTGACTTTCTTGGGTACATGTGTGACATTCTTGGGTACATGTGTGACTTTCTTGGGTACATGTGTGACATTCTTGGGTACATGTGTGACATTCTTGGGTACATGTGTGACTTTCTTGGGTACATGTGTGACATTCTTGGGTACATGTGTGACATTCTTGGGTACATGTGTGACTTTCTTGGGTACATGTGTGACTTTCTTGGGTACATGTGCGACTTTCTTGGGTACATGTGTGACTTTATTGGGTACAAGTGTGACATTCTTGGGTACATGTCTGACATGTTTTCTTGGGTACATGTGTGACTTTCTTGGGTACATGTGTGACTTTCTTGGGTACATGTGTGACTTTCTTGGGTACATGTGTGACTTTCTTGGGTACATGTGTGACTTTCTTGGGTACATGTGTGACATTCTTGGGTACATGTGTGACATTCTTGGGTATATGTGTGACCTTGGGTACATGTGTGACCTTGGGTACATTTGTTACTTACTTGGGTACATGTGTGACGTACTTGGGTACATATATGTGACTTACTTGGGTACATGTGCTACTCACTCGACTTATTTGGCTACATGTGTGATTTATTAGGGTGTACATGAGTTACTTACTCGGGTACATGTCAGATGCGGTGCCTGGCATGGATGCGTGGGGGGAGCGTCCAAGTCCACTGTCTGTGTGCTCCATGGGAGAACCCTCGGGTCTCAGTGGCTGGATCGAGAGGCAGTCATTGAGGAGGTCAGGTGGTGGCATCTCCGCCTCCTTCTTCAGCTGAAGAGGAACAAAAATGCATATGAGTGAGTGATTGAGTGAGTGGGTTGGTTGTCGGGTTGGTCGGGGGGTATGTTATTGGGTGAGTGAGTGAGTGAGTGAGTGATGCAATCAACTATTCATATGTGGCCATGAGTAATTCTATCTGTATGAGGCAAACCAGTGACTAAAAGCATCAACAACAAGCATTGTCACTAAGGTGACATAATCCCCTGCCGTAAATTATGAAATCAAACTTAAAAAGTAATGAAAGTGAATGTTGTAATTTAAGATGAAGTTAAATGTCAACAAAACATGACCAATCAACCTCTCTTGATATCTTGTTCTGTAGTTGTTCAACTGACTAACTGACTGAGTTTGGTTTTACGCCGCTTTTAGCAATATTCCAGCAACATCACGGCGGGGACACCAGAAATGGGCTTCACACATTATACCCATGTGGGGATTCGAACCCGGGTTTTCGGTGTGACGAGCCAACGCTTTAACCACTAGGCTACTCCACCGCCCCCTGTAGTTGTTCAAACGACAAATAGTGTATGAAATTAAGTAAAAATAGTAATAATTCGCTTTCTATTGAAAAAACATCTGAAGTGAAATCTTGGAAGTTCATGGAGAAAATCCAGCGAACTCTTCTTGAGATATCTGGCTGACAATCTTTAAATGCAGGTTAACATGCTGAAATCTTCAAAGTGTCGCTGTGACCTTGAAAATTAAGTGAAGGTCACCAAAATAGACTGGACCTTGCAGCATCCCCAGATGAAGCTTGATGTCAAATATGAGAAGAAAATTCAGTGAACGGTTCTTGAGGTATCATCTCTCGCCGCTTCTGGATTACGCAGGCTAACATGCTGAAATTTTCAAAGTGTGCCAAGGCGACCTTGAAAATTAAGTGAAGGTCACCAAAATCAACTGGGCCTCGCCTTCCCTAGAGTAAAGCTTGGTGCTGAATATGAAGAAAATCCATCCGAACAGTTCTTGAGATATCTGGCTGACAAGGGCAGCTAACACGCTAAAGTCCTCTCTTGTGACCTTGAAATGAAGGCCGCCAAGGTCACCAAACCTGACTGAGACCTTTCTTATACCGTAATTAACCTAGGTACCAAATATGAAAAGAATCTTGGCGACCTGCCCCCAAGATATTTCACCGCACGCACGGACGGAGCCTAATATTTCATATCCCCGCCGCTTAAACGCGGAGATAATAACATAAACCAATGGCATGAGGACATGCATCCAACCATTACGACCCCAGCCTTCGCTGAAGACCAAAAGATCAACGGACCATTGAACAGAATTATTGAGAAACTTGTCAATAATATCAAAATAATACATAAATGATAATGATTTGCGGATTGGCATTACCATTGGCAGATATCTGTGCGAAGCCAACCGGGTTGCTGAGCAACGGTTTGTTTGTTATTAGTGCACCGGGCGCTGCGTAGGAATAAACAAAGAGTAATTTGAGGCTTGCCTTCAGTCAAAAAAACTTTTGCAAAGAAAAAATTAGGAATGCAAGTAGAAAAGGCTAGAATGGGTAATGACCAAAGTTGCTACAATATTGGTTTTTATAATTTTACAATCTTGTAATGCTTTGGTAACAATTCCACTCACAACATTTTACGCGACGACGCGACGATACGACGCGACGCGACGCGACGCGACGCGATGCACGCGACGCGACGCGACGCGACGCACGCGACGCGCACGCATCGCACGCGACACGCACGCACGACGCACGCGACGCACGCATCTACACACACACAAAGCTGTAAGGTTGTTGTCTTGCATATAAAGCCTCCAATCGTTAGCACCTAATCTTGACAAATACCTACTTCTGTACTCAAATCTTAAAGGGATTGGACATTTCTTCAAACAATATGGTCCACAGAATCAAATAATAGTTATTTTCAGTTATTGATACTTTGATATGTGAACAAGAACACTATCATGAATATATTGTACAGAGACATTGCCACAAAGAAGCTGTATATCTAAGGCAATAAAAACAGACAAGCCTGACTTTGCTTTTAATGAATACTCTTATCATAAACTCTCATTTGGCACCTCCTTAGCACTCCTGTGTACAAGAAGGTAAGACCTCATTCTTTAATTGACCAATCCATCAAGCAGGCAATCTTTGGGACAGGCAGCAGACCAACAAGCCATTGAGATTGACACATTTATTTCATATTCATTCTCGCCTTCGATGGATCCTGCCAAGCAAAACTCTGTTAAAAACAAACAGAAATCTCGGAAAATACCTGCTTTAACATTTCCCTACAACAAACTGTGATATTCTCAAAAGAGATGGGGAAAATAATCATACTGGCAGAAATATTAATCATCATTCCCAAAGTAAATTATCTTGTTTTTATTCACACCCATAAAACCTGTCAGTTAAACCCTTTAACATATTTCCAACATTCTCAGACACAACCTGTGTATTAGTAACTACAGGCTAGAGAGGTACAACAACACATAATCCTCTCAGCATTTCCTTACACCCATTTTCCCTAAAACAATTCAAGTGACAGTTTAACTATTAAGATCAAGCAAACCACAGCATCAAACTAATTAACAGTGATTTCTGGTCTGGAAAGAACCCAAGACAAATCTTTAACTTAGAGAATCTAAAAATATACCTCTTCAGGTAAAAAATGAACAACTCATGTAATAATGCCAGTAAGGTTCCAGAAAGAGCATCAGGTTGGGTTACCTTCTATCATGTATGCTAATTTCAACCTGCTGATCTTGTTAAGGAGGCCCTGTCAAGCTAGTAGAGAAATAAACGCCAGGGTTTGGCTTTGTACAAATAACTCCTGACAGCTGAAATGGGGAGAGACATGGATGTGTTCGCCCATTTCGGCTACAACCTAACTGCCTTATGGCATTCAGTCTGTTCTGATGTGATGGATATTCCAAGTATTTGAATAAAACAGGATGGTGCTAATAACTTGTTGAGATTCAGTTACACTGACAGCCAACTACTGTGTGCTTTAAGTCAATGAGTAGCAACAGTTGGGAGGAAACCTACTTTTGACAAAGATCGTTATACTCCTATGGACAAGCACAGATTTTAGCTTCTGGTTTTTTAAAGTTTTAACATTTATGACACAGCCAACAACTATTATGGTGCTGCTAACTGTGAATCACATGCAGAACAAAAATCACATATTATTCGCTTTTGCCTAACATTTTCAAAAAGTGAACTCTAACTATTAGTGTGACAATTCCATAAACTACTTTCAGAATATTTCAGCAATATCACAGCCGGGGACACTCCAGAAATGGGCTTCTACACATTCACCCTTCTGGTGGGGGAATCAACCTAAGTCTTGGTGGCATAATGAGCTAAGGTACATGACTAATTTTTTGGCTACCCCACCACCCTAGTTTGATAGGAGGATAGGGTAAGTAGTTTGGAGGAAATTGGGAGAGTCGCCTGAGTCTCAAGAGGAGAGTTAATAAAGATAATATATTTTGGTGAGCTTCATAAACAACTGTATAAAGACTCTGTCTGTGTGTGTGTGTGTGTATACAAGGCTACAAGGCATGTGTGTGTGTGTTGTGTCCATCAAAAATCCAGAGGAGATTAAAGAAGCTGAAATGGGTCATTGTTTTCTGTGTGTATTAGTGCATTGACTCCGATTCCACTCACTCCCCTACAATAAATGGTCGGTGGGGATTGACATTTTGAATCCACACTTATTAACCCTAATTCTTTTGAACCCAAGGCTTTGTGATCACACACTGAAAGCAAACTGGGCTGACCTCATTTAGATTGATGGGGCAGTTGATGTCAGATATTATTACACAACTTTGGTACGAGTATTATCTACAACATTACCTTAATATACATAAACACATACTCACCTCTTTAAGCCAAGCCTTACCATATCAATGCTGTTGGTCTAAGCCCCCAAATGCCTCTTAAACATTTTCAACAAAGTCTGCCAACAAATGTCAACCAAGTGTCAGTTTTTCCAGCCATGCTCACAGGGTCAAATGTACCATTTATGGCTATGCAGCCAGAAGAACCCATTCAACCCCAACTTCCAAGACCGTGACTTGGAAATCTTAGCTCTGTCAAGAGACTACTGAATGTATATTTAAATCTGTAATGGGAATTCCTTTCCTCAATATTATGGTGAAGATCTCACAAGCATCATGGAAAGTAAATTCTCTTTCTCCAAACAAGGTACAGATATTAATATCAGCGTAATACTCATTACATACAATAACTTAGAATGTAAATGCCAATGTCCAATTACTTCTAGAAAATGATGTTCGTGACCTGTGACACACTGGATTGTTATTGGAATCTCTGTTGTGGATTAGTGAGTTCCCTTAACATTGTTGAAAGTAGATCAAGTGTCATTTTACCTGTTTGTATCCCAACTCTTAATTTTTCCAAATAATCCCATTCATCTGTTTTCCACAACATGAAATGGTGGCTTCAATCATGTTAAAGTCTTGAAAACCAAACTCACTCACTCCACCACTGAAAAATGGGTTAGTTTGGACCTATTCAAGAGACTCCATTACTTTTGCATTCTTTACATCTACAGTGTATTTCTGTGATACTGTATAAATATTATTGTTCATAGACACCATGCAATCCACAATGTACTTGTGAAACCCTTGAGACTGGTATTGTCATTAGACAATTACACATTACTTAGTCCATCAATAGTTGGATTAAAGTCGCATAAATCTTCTGTAATAGGGCATTTTCAGTTATTTGCAATAATCTGAGATGATGTCATATTTCAGAAACAATCCAAATTATTGGCATGACTCATCCAATCTGCAGGTACAAACTGAAGACAGTTTTCAGTGAGATTTGCCAAAGAATATTGCGACTTACGTTTACCAATTTGTAAATTTTCTGATCCAATCTTAACTTTTAGTCATATGTCATTACTGGTTCTTAGTCATTGTTTATCTGATCAGTTACATATATAAGTTATGTCATGCCCTAGAAAGAATATCATGC